TGTATGTTTTTAGTTTTAGTTAATGAGAATAACCCTGGTGTAAAAATAAATAAAGGAATAATAAATTAAGCTATGCAGTTTTAGTTAATGATAATAACCCTGGTGTAAAAATAAATAAAGGAATAATAAATTAAGCTATGCTAATAAATAAAGGAAATAAATAAAATAAAATATATATTATGTTGATATATTATACATAATATTATATATAATACATAAAAATGTAATGTTTACGTTTGTCATATTTATTTTGCTGTCATCCAGTGTGTGTTTATATTTTCCCTGTAAACTGCAATTATCAACATTTGTATCTTCTGTCACTTTAGTAAAAATGGTTCAGCTTTGCCCGGGCCAAACTGGCTGTTGCTGAGACTGAAACCTGTTCTTGAACTAATTTAATTTCCCCAAGTGCATCCTGGGACAGTAAAATGCCAGTTCTCTTTTATCTCCGTGTGATTTCTCAAAGCATGCAGCACTTACGGTGGACTCCTCCATGAACTGGGCCAGACTCTGTCTCATGTCCTGAATGCAGCTCAGAGAGAGACTGTAGGAGTCCAGAGGAGCCAAATGCTTCTCACTCTCCACATAAAACCACCTCTTAACCTGAGGACAGACACATTATCAGCACACAGGCTCTCCAATAATCAATTATCATTCTGAAAAAAAAAATATTCATTTACTCCACAGACAAGCTGATTTTTAATGATAACCTACAGTATGAACACATGATAATATATTCTAGCATGCTACCAGAGCTGGGTAGTAACAGGCTTGCTGCGATAGACGGTGTTTTCGGTTATACCGGTGTTAAGCCGCAACACCGGTTACGTCATTTGCCTACCGCGGCAACAAATTTAGTAACAAATCATTTAGCCTAGTTCAGTTAGAGGACAGACACTTTTAAAAACTAAATGCTCAATGCAGCGTGCCGAACCGTGCACGAACGACAGTGCAAGTTTTTTTAATTTGATTCCACAGTGTTTGCTGATTACTTTATTTAAACTTTGTGTATTTTATCGATGGCCAAGAAATCCGAGGAAAAGAGGGAAAACTCAAACTAACAATTGCTTGATGCCGAATTGCGGCAATTCAATTACTGCTAATTTGAAAGTGAAAGTAAAATGCTCATGGCACTTTTACAAGCCATTTGAAAGCGAAGAAAAGAGGGAAACTCAAACGAAATAACACCCCCACCCCACCCCAACGGTGATACCGGTATTACCGGTGTTGTCACGCGTCGATTAACCGCTGGGAAAATTTCCTCACCGTCACAACCCTAGGTAGTAACTGATTACATCTACTCTGGATTACGTAATCAGATTCCAAAAATTAAGTACTTGTAATTAGATTAAATTAAATGGTAACACTTTAGAATAGGGAACACTTATTCACTATTAACTATGACTTTTCCCTCAATAAATTCCTAATTTGCTGCTTATTAATAGTTAGTAAGGTAGTTGTTAGGTTTAGGTATTTAGTAGGATTAGGGATGTCGAATAAGGTCATGTGCAAAATGGCTAATATTCTAGTAATATGCTAATAAGCAACTAGTTAAGAGACCCTAAAATAAAGTGTTACCAATTCAATTTTAAAATACTCGTAATCAGACTACAGTTACTTTTTTATGGATTACATGATTACATATTATTCACACAACAGCAATAATTTATTCATAATTTATTGATTCTCCCTAATTCCTCTTTTTCATGTTTTAAATGTTCCTTTCTAAAAAGCCTACCGCTTATATATACTCAGAAAGTCTTCCAGTTTTGTGGACAGCCACACAAAGTAATTAAACAGAAAATACACAGGCTACACAGCATTTGACACTGGATTTACAAAAATCACTTCAGTTTTAAGACGTGTTTTAACACTGCATCAACACTACTGATGAACACATTAATTAATTTCTATTTGAATTATCACTCAGTCAGTTTTTTTTACCAAATTTGGAAGTTGCACAAATAAAACGCACAAATTCACCAACTTTTTTGTCATCTGATCCTCTTTCACCTATTATATTTTTATTTGAAGTACCTCTGAGATTTTAAAATACAAATGTTAATAATGCATGCATGTAAACGTTTGCATGTTCATGGTGCTCTGACATTGGTTATGGTCACATGACATGCAAGTAAACAAATCAAATATTTCATTTTTTCAGTAAGTGTTTTATTTTGATTCATTTTAAAATGATTTGTTTTCATTTACAATTTTGATGATTTATAATTAATTATCAGCTTTTCATTAAACTCATAAACCCCCTGTAGTTCCTTCACAAGCCCAGTTTGGGAAACCTTGACATTATATGTGACCCTGGAGCACAAAAGCAGTCTGAAGTCGCTGGGGTATATTTGTAGCAATAGCCAAAAATACATTGTATGGGTCAAAATTATAGATTTTTCTTTTATGCCAAAAATCATTAGGATATTAAGTAAAGATCAATTTCCTACCATAAATATATCAAAACTTAATTTTTGATTAGTAATATGCATTGCTAAGAACTTAATTTTAACAACTTTAAAGGCGATTTTCTCAATATTTTGATTTTTTTGCACCCTCAGATTCCAGATTTTCAAATAGTTGTATCTCGACCAAATATTTTCCTATCATAACAAACCATACATCAATGGAAAGCATACATACATATTTATTCAGCTTTCAGATGATGTATAAATCTCAATTTCAAAAAATTGACCCTTATGACTGGTTTTGTGGTCCAGGGTCACATATAATGTTTAATGCATTTTATGTTGTTGATAACAACAAATGGAATTTATTTTCTTACTCTTTGTATTTTTTATATCAATATGGTACAAGATTATCCTATTTAAATCAATGTGAAAAACGAAATAGGTCAAAAGTAATCTAAAACTAATCAAAAAGTAGTCTTTTATTATATTACCTAAAATGTGTAATGTCATGGATTACGTTACAAACTACAATTTTTGTCATGTAACTTGGAATCAGTAACGGATTACAATTTGTGAGCAATCTACCCAGCTCTGCATGCTACCCTATTAATAGTTAACATGGGATGTTGTAGCGTTGTGTGTGGTTGTGTTTTCTGATCTAAAAACACAAAGCCCTGAGTGATTTGATTGCATAATCACAATGCCTTATTTTCCACACTGAGAGCTTTAAAATGCCTATAGAGAAAATGATTGGGAAAGATGGCGTCTCTGACCTCCTGGTGTCTCTCCTGTAAGACACACAGCTCCAGGAGTTTCTCCAGCTGCTGCAGGGATTTATTTGACAGAATGACTAGTTTATGAACCTCTTCATCCAGCTGGTTATACAGCGCACCGACCAGATCCACAGCGTCCCTACACACCACACAGCAGCTCCAGTCAAACACTACAGGACAGCTAAACGGCATCAGTGTTTTTAAACATTATTTGGTAAAAAATGACTTTTTTTGTGGCCTCTTATTTTATTCATGCAGCAAAAATTTAAACTTTCTCAAGGTTGCATGATGGAGCGTCACTTTTTTCGTCTAAAAAAGAAAACACATTTCTTGAGAAGCAAAATGAAGTGACTTAAATGAAGTGGATTTGTCTCCCATTTTTACTCAAAACAACAACAACAAAAAAACTATATACCAATGGCATAATAAAAATAAACGTGAATAGCATTTAAGATCATTTTGCTTAAATGCATGGTGTTTTAAGAGTGTTAAAAATATAAATGATACATTTCTTGCGAAGCAAAATTGTGTACAATAAGACTTGTTTTCAGGGTGTTTGGATATTTTCACCTGAAAAGAACTATTTATGCAGTAAGTGTAATAAGTGTCATTTAGGTTGAATTAAAGCAGATGGATGACGTGCATGGCATGATTAAGCCCGACGGTGATTGACAGGAGTGTGTGCATGTAATTAATAACACAGAGCTGGGCGTAAAAACTAAAGTCAGTGTTATCCAGGCTTTTTAAAGAAAGGAAAAATAATTAGGGCTCATCTAATTGATTCAGACAGGCCAATATCCCACTGATATTAAATGAAGCATCTGTCAGTCGTCTGATGAAGGCAGTACTGTACCTGTAGTTCTCGTTTTCACACATCTCCTCTTTCCGGATGCGGGCCAGAAAGGTGCCGCCCTCCAGACGCAGGCGGTTGAGTTTGGTGTCGTCCAGAACGCTCTTCATGAGACTCTTCTGCTGGCTGATGACCTCTGACACCTCCTGCAGGAGCACAGACCATCAATATTCAATAATAATCTATCAATATCGATCAATAATAATCAGCCTGAGTGAAGCTCCGCCCCTCACACTGAACTTGCATTGCATTACATTAAAAAAAAAACACACACACACACAATACGGGGTTTTTACTGGTTGCCATATCAACACTATATAGAGAAAAAAAGTGCGCCAAAATTCAAAAATCTTTTGAAGATATCACTGAACATTTATTTTACCATAGCAAAAGTACATTTCTGAATGAAGTACATTTTTGATCTCAGTTTTTAGTATTCATTTAAAATGAGACACATCTGCTATTATTTTAATCTGTTATTTAGCAGTTCTTTAATGCTTCGATAACTAGCAAAAGACACGAACCGGTTTTAAATTCCAGTTGCGCAGATGGGGAGCTTTGTAACACTGCGTTATTAGAACTATGCTGTTCTATGACATTCGAGGTGTCATTTACACTAATTACTTTTATACATTTTAATGAGAAACCACGAGGAACAGGTGAAAAATGTTTAATGTTCAGAAATTATTATTTTAAGAAATGTAAAGCATTTTGGCTCGTTTGTGTGTCTCGTGTTCTGTGAGAGCTGTGTGTGTTGTGATTTTCTTCATCTATTTGCACACATATTGTTTTGAACTATGTGTCTTGTGATCAGGGCCGTCACAAGAATGGTTGCAATGTGTTCATTGTCAAAGTCCAAAAATACATGATTTTTAATTATTAAAAAAACGCCATTATTTTATTTGAAAAAGTTAATAATTTTATTTTATTGACAAAATATTTGAGTTTTTTTGTATATTTTTTTTCATTAGATCAGATAACATTTTAAGCTGTCATATGATCATATTACAACGTGCTCCTCCGATGTTACAATGTACCCCACCTACGGGGCATGTTGTCACATTTCACTTCAATTCTTCTGGGGTAAATAAAGAAAAACGTATACACTATAATTACGAAACAAAGCCATATATTTGTACTAGACAAGTGTGAAATGAATGTGGATAAAAACTCCATGTGCATTTACACAAACTGAGAAAGTCAAAAAGTGTTACGTTGTGACCCTACAAAGTAACAAAGCAGAAGGCAACAGTTGCTAAGCTTGGATTGGTCAGAAACATTCTGAAGGCGGGGCTTAGCAAAGGGAATGCCAGTAAACAAGGCCATTTAAATCATTTTCAATGATGCTGCTGTAGAGAATGATCAGAGACTCAGTTTGAGTTGTCAGAATAACCTCAGACGTCTCCAGGCTGCCGATGTTGTTCAGCGTCTCGATGGAGCTCTGGAGGGAAGCGATGGCAGCGCTGCAGCTCGCGGCAAACGCTTCGATTTTCTGTCCGTGGATAAAAACAAACAAACTTCAGCACATTTTTTTTTTTTGCATTTTAAGTGTATATTCTTCCTCACGAATGCAAACGTTTTAAAGTCGCTCAGGGCTTTTCCCAAACTTGGCTTTGTTGAGTTGTGAGTAAAATAAATATCAGGGTTCAAGCGCTGTAAGACCTTCAAGAGCATGGTTAAAAAAAATACTACGCATTATTTAGCACGCCTCTAAATGAAATAGACCATTTTATAGAAATGTCTGGTAATTTGTCATAAAAATGCAAACTTTTTGAGCTTTATAACTGTTAAAGTGATACCTAATCATCTTTATGAAAGTTTGCCTGCTTCTTTAGGACTATACGTCACATGTTCTTTCCTATTTTGTGAAATTCAGAGGTTTTGTTTAGGAATTATAGGCTTTTATTTGGTATATTTGGTCACGTCCATATTTTACATGATCATTATAGCCATCCAAATACTAAATTTAAACTTTTTTTTTTGGTTAATTATTGATCTAAAATTATTGATTGATGAAAAAACTAGGACTACTTTGCAAAAGTCGTTTTTTTTTTTTTTTGTCTGTCCAATCAGTGTTAGGGCAGAATAATAATAACAATAATAATATCATAAAATCTAAATAATAATAAAATTTGCTTTGTGCTTGAACCCCTAATGAATAAATAAATTAATTAAAAAAACTATATAAATATGCACACTCACACACACACACACACATATATATATATATATATATATATATATAATACACACACATATATATATTTCTAAAATATATACATGTATGTGTGTGTATTTATATGTATATTTAATATGAAACATATAAATATGTAAATATATATACTATATATAAATATATAGTACACACACACACACACATATATATATATAGTACACACACACACACATACACACACATATATATATTTCTAAAATATATACATGTATGTGTGTGTATTTATATGTACATATAAGTATACACAGCACACACACACATATATTATGTAAACAAACTTTTATTTTGGATGCGATTAATCGATTTGACAGCCCTATATGTTGTTAAATTATTGAGATATCACATTTAAACCTCAGGGGGACTTAGAGTCAAAGGGGTTGGTGAATCCCTGCTCTGAGCACCTGTCTGAAGTGAATGTAGTGGCTGTGCTCGTATGGGAAGCTGCCGTCAAAGTCTCTGGTGAGCTGCGACGAGTCGATGTGCTTCTGCAGAGCTTTCAGAGACGTCAGGACTTCACACTGTACAAGAACAAGAGAGGAGGAGAAACATTTCACAGAAACACGCTCGGACTCAAACGGAGACAGACAGACAGTCATTTACTCACAGGAACTGAGACGTCTCGCTCCACTTTCACTGCTGCGTCTCTGTCCACCAGAATCAAAACCGAGTAAAGTGCATTGGGTACGAGAGTCTGGCGGGACAGAAGAAATCAAAGAGCATTAATAAATCCAAACATAAAATCATAACGTGTATATTTACACTACATTTGCATGTTTACAGGCCTTTGATGTTGGGTAACGGTCACATGACATGCATGTAAACTAATAAATTATTTCTTAGTGTTTTATTTTGACAGTTTTAAATATTTATTTATTATTAATTTATTTAAATTGCGATTTTATGATTTAATTATTTGATTTTCTTCAACTCACAAAACCTGTGGTTTTGAAAGCCCTGGTTTAGATCATTTACTATACAGACAAACATTAGAGGAAAAAAACATGGATAATTACAAAGACTAAACTGATTAAATCAGGGATTTTTCTTTTTTTTTTAATTAATATTTAATAAAGTTAATATTTCATTAATTTAACAAAACATCAATGGTTCATGGGTTAATGGTGACATGATATCCAGGTAAACAAAATATTTCATCTTTTTTTATGAAGTGTTTTATCTTGATTGTTTTCATTTGAGTTAGTTATTTATTTTAATTTTACATTTTTATGATTCCATTAATTGCTAGCAAGTATTTTATCTTTGATGGGTTTTTTTTTAAATTAGTCATTTATTCTAATTTATCATTTTAATGATTTAATTAATTATTAGAATTTTATTTTGATTTTTTTTTAATTCACAAATTAATTATTTCTTTTAATTTTACATTTTTATGATTTAATTAATTTTAGTAACTATTTAATTTTGATTGTCTCTATCTTAAAAATTATTCATTTTTATTTTTTATGAATTATGAGCTTTTCAACAACTCACAGACTGACTTTCAGAGACGTCAGGACTTCACACTGTACAAGAACAAGAGAGGAGGAGAAACATTTCACAGAAACACGCTCGGACTCAAACGGAGACAGACAGACAGTCATTTACTCACAGGAACTGAGACGTCTCGCTCCACTTTCACTGCTGCGTCTCTGTCCACCAGAATCAAAACCGAGTAAAGTGCATTGGGTACGAGAGTCTGGCGGGACAGAAGAAATCAAAGAGCATTAATAAATCCAAACATAAAATCATAACGTGTATATTTACACTACATTTGCATGTTTACAGGCCTTTGATGTTGGGTAACGGTCACATGACATGCATGTAAACTAATAAATTATTTCTTAGTGTTTTATTTTGACAGTTTTAAATATTTATTTATTATTAATTTATTTAAATTGCGATTTTATGATTTAATTATTTGATTTTCTTCAACTCACAAAACCTGTGGTTTTGAAAGCCCTGGTTTAGATCATTTACTATACAGACAAACATTAGAGGAAAAAAACATGGATAATTACAAAGACTAAACTGATTAAATCAGGGATTTTTCTTTTTTTTTTTATTAATATTTAATAAAGTTAATATTTCATTAATTTAACAAAACATCAATGGTTCATGGGTTAATGGTGACATGATATCCAGGTAAACAAAATATTTCATCTTTTTTTATGAAGTGTTTTATCTTGATTGTTTTCATTTGAGTTAGTTATTTATTTTAATTTTACATTTTTATGATTCCATTAATTGCTAGCAAGTATTTTATCTTTGATGGGTTTTTTTTTAAATTAGTCATTTATTCTAATTTATCATTTTAATGATTTAATTAATTATTAGAATTTTATTTTGATTTTTTTTTAATTCACAAATTAATTATTTCTTTTAATTTTACATTTTTATGATTTAATTAATTTTAGTAACTATTTAATTTTGATTGTCTCTATCTTAAAAATTATTCATTTTTATTTTTTATGAATTATGAGCTTTTCAACAACTCACAGACTGACAGTTTAAGTCATTTATTGTACAGACTTAACATTGGGAAAAAAACAAACAAAACAAAACTATGCATGCATGCTTACAAAGACTAGAGTTTAGATCATTTATTGCATGCAATAGTGCAAATAAGAACCTATTTAAGTGGAGAAGCACTTCTTTCTCATCCCTCTTTTCTCATATTTTGCGTGTTGGGACAGATCATTTTCTCAAAGCGTGTTTTTTAGAGACGTGCTCACACAGGCCTCGTCTCAAACCCCGAGGACAGACTTTCCTTCAGATGTTTGACATGAACCATGCGCATGACAATTAACATGCTTTACACTCAAAACACCAGTGTGTGAACACCGATGCTTTCAGACATCACTGCGTCCTAAAACGTGTCAAAGGTTTGATAGCAGCACAGTTCAGTGCAGCGCTGAAGAGTTTGTGATGTTTCTGGCTTCAGTGAGCAAATATGTGACAGACAGATGAATGGCTGACAATGTTTTGCACTTGAGCGAATCGATTATGATTTTACATAACTGTGTCAAAGTCTACACCACTTCTCTGTGATTAACTGGAGCGACTAACAACCAAACCAGACACTGATCAATGTTAAAACTGATTAAATATGATAATATTTTAAAATATAAAACTTATTTTAAAATAAATGTATTATTTGCAAACAGATCAAATTGATACTTCACAAAAAAAAAAGAAAAACTAGTTACAAATAACCAAACCAGACATTGATCCCAATCATTAAAACTAAAACTAAACTAAAACTGAAACTAAAATTAAAACCATTAAAAAAAATGTGACCTGAAATAAAACAAAACATAACTCATTTTATTTCAGCAAGTTGCAATATTTCCCATTTTAATTTAGTTTAACTTGATGTTTTTAAAAAACTAAAAGTAAATATTAAATTTTAATAACAATTTAATACTACACTCTAAAAAATGCTGGGTTGTTTCAACCCAACTTTGGGTCAAAATCACAAAAATGACTACAACTTTAAAGGTAATATGATAATGGTAAATATAAAACTGATTCAAAATATTACCAAAAAAAAAACTATAATAGTAAAGAACTAAATAACTGTATAACCAGTGATGCAAACTACTCAACGTTTTGGCAAAATTCTTTATTTTGAATTGGAAAAATAGCCTGTCATTTCTGCGATTGATGTAACTGAATGTAAAGAGACAAGAAGCATTTTTCAGTTTTGTGTTTTCAACATATTAAGAGCGAATGTGTGCATATATTAAAATTACAATATTGAAAAATATTTTTATAATTATTATAGATTATAATATTTTATATATGATAAATATTTTAAAATATAAAACTTGTTTAAAAACAAGAGTTTATTTGCAAAAACAGATTTTCTTTTAAATGTAATTTTTTTCAAAAATCATGTTTTTTTTATCATGTAAATTTTAAAAATGGAGTTATCTGCTTTTGCAAATGAACTCTTCATATCTTATTTGCAAACTGGTCAAATTGATTTAAATTTACAACAAAAGTTCTTTCTTTTCCACTTAATTCCTTAAGACCTTTATCTTTGGGGTCTTTTAAATAAAAGGAACATTGGTCCCCCTTGTGGCCTTAATCCAAACTCAAAGGTTTGTCTTCCAGACAGTTGTGTGTCTGGTCTCACCTGAAGCTCAGACATAGCTGTGAAGAGCGCAGACGTGACCGGCTGCCTGCGAGCGTCGATGAGAACTGTCAAACCCAGGCCTCTCTTCTCCCTCCTGAAAACACAAGCGTAAGACACTCAGAGAACGGCCTGCGCTCAGACACAGTGTGCTGCAGAGTTTCCATGTGGCCTGCTTTCTCACCGCAGTCTGCCACAGAAGTAGCACAGCAGCTCGCTGATCTGGTTTGTGGTGAAAGCTGCGTCTGTCCACACCTGGCTCCTGCTGCACACCTGCAGCACAGCTCTGCCGCCGCGGTCCTGGTTACCTGCATCCAGATCATGACCCCATAAACCAAACCCTGCACCCTTCACTAGAGCTCCACTGTTTGGGGAAAATCTATGTGTGACCGAGGACCACAAAACCACTCATAAGGGTCAATTTTTTAGATGTATACATCATCTGAAAGCTGAATAAATAAGCTTTCCATTGATGTATGGTTTGTTAGGATAGGACTATTTCAGGGCCACAAATGTGGTTTTAATGATACAATGTTTGCTGTGCTTGTTTGCAGGGCTGCACTAGTTGGTCAAAACTTTGATTACATATCGATATGACACTAAAATTATAATTATATTCTACAATTATGTTTTTAGTAGATGCTTTTATCCAAAGGGACATACAAAGAGGAGATTCATTAATTATCATTATTATTAATAAAAAGAGGAAATAATAATGATAGTAATATAATTTAATAGAATAGAATAATTTAATATAAAAATAATAATTATTAATGATTATTACAATTACTAGACAAAAGTATTAGGTTTAAAACAACATATATCAATATGACTGTAAAATTTTACATTTTACATGTATATGCATTTAGCAGACGCTTTTATCCAAAGTAACTCACAAAGAGGAGAAAATAATATTAATAATAATACATATTATAATATTATCATTATCAATAATAATAATGATAATAAATACTACTACTACTAATAGTAACAATTATTATTAATATTAATAACAAGAATAACTCATTATAACAATTATGTAAATTAATATAATATAATAATATTTCTTGTTATTAATGATTGTTATAATTACTACATTAAAATGAAAGAAAAAACGATTAATAATAATAATAGAAATCACATTTTCATTTTTGGGTGAACTATCCCTTTAACTCTGAAACACACAGCATAAAAATTTATTTAATAAAAACTCAGCATCTGCAATTTGGTAATTGCTCTATAATCGTTTTATTCCAATTAATCAAGCAGCCTCATGCAGTTAATTTGCAATGAACGTTTAAAAAAATGTATTAATTTAGTTTAATTTTTAAAAGGAATATTACAGTGGTGGGCAAAATGATTAGAACACTAGTATTTTCAGCAGCTAAAAATGGTTTTAAGTCAGTTATTTCTATC